AAATTATTAATAACTTATTTGTTTCATGCTAATAAAATATTAGAAACAAATATTTAAGAAATACTTGCTTTTGATCTGAAATATTTAGCAAACATATAAATATTTCCGAAATGTGTATGTAATATTTTGTGCTATCTGGGTTGAGTCTCAAATTATCGTCATAAAAATGGGCAGCATCCAACTAAATTTTCCTTCGGATGAACGCTTGGGGTAGTAGAAAAGTACATGTACTTACTACAGGGTGGACGATTCTTTCGGGTCAATACATAAGAGCTTCACCTTTTAATGTTCCTGATCTTCCAAGTAGTTAGTTGCTATTGTAAATTACGCAGGGGGTTCTGACGGCGGTCGTGTCCACACTTGTAGGCGGAAGAGACCCACAACAGGTGAATATGATGGCCAAGCAAGCGGGCGAGGTATGTAAATGCGAATGGATCACCTCTTGGGTGTTGTAAAATCACATGTGATGGATCAGCGTAATCACCGGATCGTGAAGAAAGTCTCAGATCGGTTCGAGTAAAAGTAATCCAATGGGTTTGACTGCTTTTTATTTAATTGCCACGCCACCGGTTTTGATGCACCAATTATTCCGCTGTGTAAATATTCATTAAATCTGCTCCTTGCTAATTTCATTTTTTCTTTGTAGAACCAGTGCTTCCAGCGTTCTTTCTATCCAAGTCTTCTAATACACGCACAAACTATTAAACACTATTTGTTTCATGTAGTCGCCGTGAAAAATTGCACGCTCAATCTTCATATACAGGGTGTCCCGTAAGCACATGACCAAAAGACGACAATCTGACCTAAGTTTTATCAACAAAAAATGTCTGGCTCCTCTGCTATTGATGGCCAAAGTTCTTCAAAAAATTTCTCTTTTTTTGAAACATTGTGAAACAAACCTGTTGTCTTACTACTTAACAATGTTAGACATTAGCTACAAATATGCGGCGCCTAAACGCGTACGCTTTCACGCAAGTTGTCTGCGCAAAAAAACTTAATTGTTTCACCGTATCCCACGCATCCGTTTGTACGATGATACGACAGTGTTTCTATTGGTTGGAGATCTGTCAATTCGTACGACGACGGACGAATTGACAGATCTCCAACCAATCGAAAGGTCCCATTAGAAAAGGTCATTCGACACGCTTTTGTGACATTGATTGACAATTAATTTATGCCTCGTATCACGAAATTTGCAGTTAATGTCTAACGTTGTTAAGTGGCAAGAAAACAGAATTTTTTTTTCGCAAAAACTATAAATGCCTGAAGATTTTACAAAGTGCACAAAATTGTGAATAAATGATTAGTGCATCAGCAAAAAAAAAATGAGTTGACTTCATCCACCAAATAGAAAGTTCTGGGAGTTTTTGTACCCTTAAAAATTCACCACTTGTCCAGCACGGCTAAACTCGTTTGCTCCATCAAAATAGGCATTCTTACATAAGAACAAATTTACAGCGAGTTCCACCAAAATACGTCGTACCATTCTCCCGATATTTCAAAAAAGGGAGTTTTTTAAGAACTTGGACCACCAATAGCAGAGGAGCCAGACATTTTTTGTTAATAAAAGTCAGGTCAGATCGTCTTTTTTTCATGCAAAGAATACCGCAGTATCCTTTTGATCAAGTGCTTACGGGAGCCCCTGTATAACAATGCTGATGTAACTCATTATTCATCAAATAATTCGAATTAATTCATCCCAACGACTACTAAAAACATTTATCATCTACATTTTATCTTAGTAGTCCTTGATTCATCCAAGCCTCTGTCTGTACGATGATACGAAACTGTTCCTATTGGCTGGATGTTGTGTCAATGCGTCCGACGTCTGTCCAACTTCGAAAATGACAGCCCATCCAACCAATAGGACCACTCGCATCCTCGCACAAACGCGTAGATTGGCCAGAAGACAGACACGCCTACTGCAGGATTGTGACTGATAGTTGTTGCAGTTCATCAACATTGTGGTAAACCTGCTCGATGCCCTGAAGACCTCATTCTCGCACCGATCCATGGTTGCCAGAACCATCGGCAAAAAGGATTCGATCAGCGACGCCGCAGTGGCAGGAATCGCCATGGCTAAAGGCTACGTGCGCTCTTTGGGAACAGATGAAAGTGCCTGCATGGCAAAATACATCTGCCAAGCCAACAGCGAATGTTCCCGGGATATCGGCCAAAGTTCCCTGTTTTGCAACATTGGAAGGTATTTTCGATTTTTATCATGTGTGCAGAAAAAAAAATTTTCAGTTTAAGTCGGGGTAATAAACTTTTTGCGAAGATTTTACAAGTGCAGTCAAACATTATTGGAATTCGTCAATTGCGCTCTTATTTTTTTAAGTGGATTTATAAACTGCAGTTGAGTTGGGCGTTGAAAATAACACTGGATACAAAATCTTGCCTTTCCGCCATTTGTCTGAATGTCTTTTGCGGCTATTCCTTACGCTCAAAGAGCGACACTGTAGTCAAAAATCCGCTTAGAAACGCAACTTTTCCAAATAGAAATTTGTCTGCGCCATATAAAAGAACGTTTCTCGTGCAAACTTTGCAATTGAAACTCATTTCAGTTATGCCGCAAGCTTCGTCCTGGATAAATCCGCCAGCAAAAGCACATTCGACGTAATTTACGAAGCCGGACGCAGAGGACGGTCTGGAGACAACTGCGAAATGGGCTACTTGGAATGCAACGAAGTGTACTAATTTATCGCTCTCCGTTATTTAGAAAGTTCTGGAAGAACTAATATATGGGTAATTGAAAAAATATTTTCGGTGCTTTAGGGAATAGCGTCCGGAATGTTGCCTGTTTTGCCTGGATTAACCAGAAAACTTCCGAGTATGCTATTTCCTAATACACTTCACCTAATGACTGGAAAATATTTATAGACCAATGTTACTATATCGTTATTTATTTTATTTATAAAGTTCTTTTTTATGAAGTGCGAATGACTGAAGACAGTAAGTTAAAAGACGAGCGAATGATGTAGAATGTTCATTAGACGTTAGGTATCTGGTAGAGTAAGATATAGCCAAGCCAAGATAATGTTTCGTATACCAGCTTTGTTGATGTTTCAATAGCTTTATATATAATAAACAATTGTCTTTAATTATGAAAATATCACAATTTTCCAAACTTACCAAACTCCTTAAAACCCCCCTTGTCCACACGTGTTTTGCGACTGCATAATCATGACATGAAAGACTGTTAAACACTTCTTCGAGTCCCACCCGCCAGGGCTGCAATACTAGCTTAATTTTCATTCCTCACAGTCCGAAAAACATTTAGATTCTGCAATGAGAATACTACAAAAACTGTTTCTGCCTTTAATGAATAAAACAAACATGTAGTTGCAAGAACGCCCAAATCTGAAATTGTCTTAATTAAATAATATATGCCACTTCAATAGAAGCACATACAAAAGTTTTAAATCAACTTGTCCGCAATAACATCGCGCGTGTTCGAAAAAGTCGAATTTCTAAGCTTTGCTCAAAACAAGTTCGCAAACTGAAACGCAATTCAGTTATTATAGCGTCTTTCGATATACTTGGTTTGAGTGAGCGCACTTTCACCATTGGTTGGGTCCATAATTCGCTGCCAATCAGTCTGGCCCACGACGAATCCCAGTGCTTTCATCTTTGTCTGTTGTTTTTGCTCCTCCAGATCGGCCCATCGAACCTTTAATTAAAAAGTTTCACTGATTAAAATCGCAGACAAACAACATCAATCAGTTTTGCGCGTGAATTTTGTGTTTTTCATTGGGTTATTAAATACATTTGCATCATCCTTACCCTTTTCTGGCCGGGTTTTGTGGGATTTTCGGGTTGCTCCCATTCGTCGTCCAGTTGGAGGTATTCCTCCATGGTTCTGGATGGCCGGAGCGGCTTGTTGACGCCGTCGAGCCGAGCTGGAATACAAATACATTATTAGCCAATGGTTTTAAGAGCTTTTATATTTAATTGAAAGTTACAGACAGGTTCGGATGCTGCACTAATCCGACTAGATATTGAAGTGTGTTTTAAAATTGATTTATTAAGTACTTCAGGAGATATTAAAATGTCTTTTATTATGGAAGATACAAAAAAATGTCAAAGAGATAAACGATGCGTTATTACCCAAGCGCTCAAATGACGTGTTTAAAGTTATAGCCCATCTCCCCTTTTTCCGAGATACCAAGAGTGTTTGTTTTGTGGGGATTTTTTATACATTTCCAGCCATTTATGCCAACTTTACTTATAAGGATTTTCCCCAAACCGCTAGTCCTTACCGTTGTCGAGATACAGCCGCTCTTTACCCTTATTGGGACACCCTGTATATCCATTTGTTCAAATTACATTTCGCCAACGTAATAAAAATTCAAATATGTACTCAGTGCGATCAAATCCTCACATTGGCAAGGAACAAATACATAAATCCAAATACCAGTAATACAGGGTGATTCAAAATTGCCGTCATTAATTTTAAGGGGTAATAGGGGCTCACTAGGAGGGGAGGAGAAAAATATTGATATTTTACATCTCGATAATTTCTAGAAGATGAAAATCGAATTTCAACTTCGTTATTAAGCGTTATTTTGACAGTGTTCCATGTTTAATTGGAAGCATATTGAAAAACTTAGGCAATCAAAAAGAAAAATTACGACCCCCAATTACGAAAACTTAAACGTTACACGACAACTGACACTTTCCCAGGCACCAAATAAATACCGGMTACATTCCTACCACGTATGCAAGATCACATTAAACCAATGCATTACTGAACACCGGTATAAATTGAGCAGGAGCTAATTAACCGAATACGAGAAGCTGCTAGAGAAGAGTGCATAATAAGGCGATTACACAGGCACTTGTTTGGAGGTACAGRCTCAAATGTATGTTTTTGTACTTTGAAAGCAAATTAATAATTCGAGGTTATGAGYTTCGAAATAGGTTCCGTCATTCAACGATTCCYGTTGAATTTACCGTTTATCCTTGTCTATCTTATTGTCACTTTCTCTATTTATCCATGGTTACCGGAGTTTTACATAAAGCAACCGGTATTTACGTGACGGTAAAAACATTGTTGCCGTTTTTCTAATATAGTTTCTTGCAAATTTCTCAGTTTCTAACGGCAATTAATTTTTTGCAATTTTTTCTGCACCCCTAAAACACCGCCAGACAACACCTCCAGAGGAATGACGCCAATTTTGAATTACCCTGTACATTGAATGGTAAATATTTGCTGAGTTTGTGTGAAAAAGTAATTCGCAAATATACATATGCCTCGACCAATCCATTAAAACGGAACATGATTTTAAAAATATTAAGTTCAAATTCGTACTATGGCAAGGAAAGCAATAATCCCACCTTCGATATATAAAAACTTACCAAGATTATTTAAAGAACAGTCAAATGAATCCCACTTGCTTCTAGTATGTCCCTGTGGAAACTAAATTGATATTACGAAGAAGGCAGCCGACTATTGCTATGAGTAAAAAATTAAACAACCTTGCTGTGGAAAGAACAGTGGATTAACTTTAAAGTAAACATACAATGCCAAGATCCATATATTTAAATGTCCGGTTCAAAGGAAAGAATCCGCGCCCGCTTTAACTGATTGAGCATTGATCGATTAATTTGGTTAAGAGAGAGCTGTAAGTCTCAGTAGGCACTTACCCACTACCCACAACACATAAAGGGCAGTTTATGTGAATCAATCAAGACGTTTTGCGTAAATAGACATGTTTACCTCTCCGTCATCGACATCAGCTTCGTCATGACTTGGTTCGGCCTCCTCCATTTCGACTTCCGTGATGGCTCCAGTGCTTTGCAGAAAGTTGGTTGCATCGATCATCGGGTGATGTGAGGGCGTCGGTTCCCAACCGGCTATGCAATTCTCTATGTAAGATTCACTTCTATGATGGATATTTCTTTTCGTACAAAGTTCAGGATCCAAATCCAATTGGCAAATGTAAACCTGCAAGAAACGACTTTACAAAAAAATCATCACAATCTACAGGCAATTGAATAGTTAACCAACAACCACATCACATGTATAATACGGGGTTATTCACGCTATACGGCACGGACGTTTGCGGCTAGCCCGCTTGTTTTTTGCAAAGTATTATTTGATGAATGCACAGACGCCTATCGGGTGCACATTTAAGAATATTTTTGTAATGTACAGAGTGTCCTAAAAGCCCTAAAAGTATCAAAGTTGTGTTTTTCTAAATGAAATACCCCATATATTATTGCATTTTTGGCGTCTCTGAGCAAAATAAGTGTTTGTTTTAATACGACTTATAAGGTCTAAATCTAAAGGTTTTTCAAATAATTCGAATTTTATCAAAATCTATTTGTCTAAATTTTATCTCTATCAAAAATGCAATGATATACAGGACATTCCATTTAAAAAAAAGCAACTTTGATACCTTTGGAGCTTTTGGATAGGACACCCTATACATCACAAAAATATTTTTAAAATGTGCGCTCGGTACGCGTAGGACAAATCATAAAATAATGAATGTGAATTCTATCTATTCTTTCAATTACATAATTATTAGAGGAAACACGCAACGTACTGTTAGTATCGCTTACCTGAAATCCATTCTGCTTGGCAAAGCTCCACATTTCTCCAAAGCTTTTAACCTTCTGATTAACATTGTCCACAATTACGAACGGAAAGTATCCGTCAGTGACCGTTTTCTTAAATGCTTTTATCAAACACTGCCGATAAGATTCTTCCATTCCGGCTTCGTATTCGTACGTCATTTCTTTGATTTTCGTCACCTTTCCGTCTTCTATCACTTCTCTTTCGTGTTCAATCATGAAATAGTCGTCCAACGACAATATCCTAGGCGCCGAGCCCCCATTTTCAACCTATCGAAACTGGTTGTTTTATTTAACTATATAGAAAACCGAATTTTACTTGCCTCTCGGTCCTTAATGAGCTTGGCTAGATACGTTTTTCCACTGCCTGGCGGGCCTCGCATTATAATAGCAATCTTAGGCGGTCGGGTGAATCGCCCCGGGGCATTGATGAGGTCTTCTAAAGTCATATATTGATTAGATGCCGCATTGCTCGAAATCGCCGCTGTAGAATCAGAGGATGTAATATTTACTACACGGCTCGTTGGTGATGATAACTGAAAGGAATCTCTTTGCGTTTTTTTCTTGTCGTCTTCCCAGTCTTCGTCCGATAAGTCCTCCAGTTCCATTTTCGATTCGAACCCTTTGACATCCGGAGCCTTTTTCTCAATACGGTTTCTTGTCTCTGCTCTTCTGTCTGGCTGATATCTGTCGCCCCGGCCCCTCTGATCATAATCAAATCTAACGCGCTCTCTTTCACGCTCATTATACGGCAATCTGCCGTCATATACATCTCTGGAAAAGCTCATGCAATCATCGAGGCGTCGCCCATAAGGGTCCACCCTTTCTACAGGGTATCTAGACATCTCCCTTTCCACGTGCGCTGACCTCTCATTGATGTTAAACCGACCGGCAGCTAAAGTTTCAAACTGCCGTATGTTTCGCAGCGTATTGGCTAGCCATTGCGGCCTCTGAGGATATGGGATACGATTAACTGGCTTATGTCTGTAGTCAAAGGCCCGGATTACGTCTAAGGATATTTCAGGCTCGGCTGCAAACAAAAAACGGATTGGATTAGGCGCATTTAACACATAAAACGCATCAACTTACGATCTTTAAGAGGTCTGTGCTCGTAGTCAATAACGACATCCGGAACAAAAAACGGCTCTTTATCCACTGGAGGGGGTTCCACAGTATGACGATCTGGTAGTGAACGCTCCTCTTCGTTAAACATGTCATGATACTTATCATACTCCTCTTCTTCGTTCCATTGATCATCGCCGTCATATTGGTTACCGAAACTCTTATGGTAATCCGAAGGATGATTCTGAGAATAATTCGCACTTGGACGATGCGCAAAAGGCCTGTTGTCGCCATTGAAACCCCGAAAATTATTCTGTTCTTGGTGAAATCCGGGTCTGTAATCCCCCCGGGGAAGATTGTGCGAGTTATCCAAGCGCGACTGACTGTTGCTGCCTTGATCTGCCTCGTTGGGGCCATTAGAAAAGCTCATTCTGGTCTGGTCATCAAAATTGTTCACTGTTACCAGATCGACCGAGTTCTGACGATCCTCTGCATAGTCATTTACTTCATGGCTTGATTTGTTAAAATGCGGACGTTGGACCGATGTGGCCATTAAGCTCGATATGGACGTGCGTGCCTGAACCGCCTCAGGTACTTTTCGTTCGGTTTCCACTACTTCCGTTGGAACCTTCTTGTTCTGCGATACCATAGACAACAAATTGAGTAGCTTCGCATCTCCCAGTATAGTGTTTATTCCTCTAGAAATAGCATCCAGGTCAGGGCCTTTAGAAACGACAACACTGGCACTCATCTGTTCGCCAGGCACTTCGTTATACTCTTGAATGCTGCTCTCTTTAACCAAATCTAGGCCCGGAATGCCACCAGGCGTTGGTGAAGATGTCTTTAGAAAGTTGTTTCCCACATCTGAGGACTCTTCCGCAGTGGGCGGCTGTTTGAAGCCTAAATGTGCATTATTATGAGTCGGTGGAGGTTTGTCGAAAACCTGGACAGGACGCTGGCTGCCCTGATTGGAAAAGCTTTGTCCAACAAGTGGTGGGGGTTGCTTAAACTGCATTTTTTGCTGTTGCTGGGGCAGGACTGGCGGCGTTGTTACATGAGCGGTCATCGAAGCTTGCAGCGCGACGCGTTTCTTTCGCATTTGCTCCCGCCTATCCAAAAGAGAGTTTCTCCAAGAATCCCACTTTTTTTCGTATTCCAAGTACTGTGACTTGTCGGGATGATTGGCGTTCTGTTCTTTCCATTTGTTGAATTGCGCCTCCCACGCAGCAAACTCCTTGTCGAATTTCTTCTCCGCCTCGGTCAGCTCTTCCAGATTGAGGGCTTTTTGAGCTGGCGTTTGGGCGCTGGGTGGCGGCTGATTCTGCCAGGAGTTACTGTTCTTTGGCGCCTGAAGCATCTGCCTTTTGCTGGGTTCAACATCTGTACTCGCCGGAAGTGACCTTTTGTTAGCGGAATTCTTCCAGTCCTGCTGATCTGCATACTGGCTAGGAGCAACGCTACTGACAAATTGTCCTGGTGGGGGCGCTGTCGTGTACCCACTGTACTGGTTTGCCGCCCCTAACTTGGTATTATCTGGTGGAGGTGGAGGCACGGCATGTTTAGCCTCAGTTGGCAACGGCGGCGGCACCGCAGTGTTGGGACCCACAGCGGTCAAGGCATTAATGGATTTCTCGTACTAAAACAGACTGACTTAGAATAATTGCTCAAATCAGCCACTGAACTATGCGCACTTCAGCACCATACTGCTGATGCCATTGGTGGTACTGCTGCTGCCACTGGGCCCATTGCTGCCAGTTCTGTTGCTGCATCTGAGACCACTGCTCAGTACTGTACTGTACAGCTGTCGGAGGCGCCACTATCGAAGGTGCAGCATTCACATTGCCTGGGATGACTGCCGACTGCATTAGTGTGGGGCCCATTGCATTCGCCATAGGGGGGGCAGTCATTACATTGGGCGGCGGTGCCGCCGTTTGGTGCCAGGATTGCCAAGACATGGTCTAGGACTGCTAACCTAAAGTGGCAGTTTGTGTAATTTGAAGAATTGTTTGATTTCTGATTTTATAGCTTAAGATTGTCAGTGTGACTACTATTCCCGTTTCTGCTTGTAGCGTTTGAACGGACTGTCAGATAAACGCGAAAAAGTGAGTTTCATTGAATATTGTCGAGCCCTTGGCTTGAACAGCCCTGATGATGGCTGAATTCTAGCAAAAAGCACAGAGCTGAGTTTCACATGTCGTGGTGTGAATTTAATTGATTTTTAATTAAATTTCAGTGACTTATCAAGCTTTTCGGGTCCGATAGATACGTAGTGGCATGTAATGTAGGTTTAGTAGGGTTTAACTTCCTTTCGGTCAGCATTAACTTACCTTCGGGAAGCTCCAGTGCGGTCGCAAATGTAGACCATAAAACTGGCCGTAAGTTGGGTAATTTAATACACCAACACGTTTAAAACATCCACTAACAAAATTTGTCTGCTCTTAAGGATTTTTAACTAAATAGTTGAGTTTTATTTGTTTGGAGGAAAGTTAACCCAACCGATCAATAAAAAGATTTACGTATGAACTGTCACGAACTGTCGTTGTCAGCAGCGTTGCCACACCAAGAACTTCGAAAGCGTTTGAATGGATGGGAAAACGGTAGATTTAAAAATGAAACGTTATATAATTAATGTCCCAAATTTTTGTTTTTCCAATTTTTTAAGTGGTTTTCAAAGGTACGTTTTATAAAAAAAAATTGGGATTTGAACAGAATATTTGATTTAAATAACTTAATTTACATAAAATTGAATTGAAATAACCGAGTTTTATTACTTTGTCGAAACTTGCCAAATGTGAACATAGATGGCAGCATAGCTACCGAAACGCGCGTCTTTTCTACAAACTAGTAAAACTCGATTATTTGATGTTTTTTTTTGTCTTAGCTTCCAACCTTAACCTACCTTATCTACTTAAAACCTCAAATTTCTTTAATCTAATGTTTTAACGGTAAATAGCCATACGAATTTACCGTTAAAACCTAACGCTAAACCGTTAAAACGGAAGACCTGGCAAGCTTGGTTGCCAGTGCAAACCTCTGTCAGTACCATCGAAGTGTTTATTTTACCATCGATAAATAAATTTGTGGTATTAGGAGGCTCGGGTTCGATCCCCGTTATCGGAATATAACATTTTTATATAATTTTCATTTTGTTTCATTCATTTATCAGAGTTACATAAAGTTTACGAATTAAATACAAAGTCGTAGAACAATGGGTAGTACATTTAAAGCCGTTACAAGGACGCAAACTCATCATAACGCATCAAATCATAGAGTAAGTAAAATATTTTAATTTCTTAATAAAAAAGATGTTTTACTTTCTCTATGCCTCAAAGCGCGCAGAGGAAACTGTGTTTCCTGTTCGCGGGTCTAGCATACATCTATTTTTGCAAATTAATAATTTTTTTAAATAATAATTTGCGGGCAATTAAAACACAAAAATTACCCTTTGACTTTAGTGGTTCTTGGTAGTAGAACGTTATTATTTTTAATTTAATGTGAGATATAACACAAAAAATAGTTAAACCCAACATTTAATATTTTAAGTTTTATGTCAAAATCATTTTAGCCATTTTATCATTGCCAGTAACATTTAGGCGTGAATTTTTTGGTATTTTTAGTTTCTCAGCAGCGTAATTTTCCATTTCAAACAGCACTTATTTTACAAATAATAGCGACATTTAACTAATAGTTAAACTCCGGTTAAAACTATTAGATAGTTCTTAAAATGACGTTGGCCTTAAACGCTAAACGTTATTGTGATCATGCGCAGTGTTAAAAAAATAAGGTGTTCAGGCAAATAACGTTAAGTGCGTTTTTTACTTTTTGATACCCCATTTGTTGCACTCTTAATGAAATAAACCTCACTTTATTGTTTTCGAATCCCGTTTTGTTTGGAAAAGTTTCAAAGATAGTTTAAGTTTGTATTGTCATTGAATAAAAAGTCGCTAAGATGGAAGAAAACATTGAAGTTGTCTTTATCTAGCTATTTTTAATTTAGAAAATATTGAGCCCAGAGATTGCCTTATGTATGTGTTATGTAGAAAAAATACAGTCTTCTGTTATCTATGAAATTAGAAAAATTATCGTCGTTTTGTGCAAGGGTGGCGCAAGATTATTGCAAATATTCATGTTTTCCGTCCCGTTTTGCGTGTTTGTCGGAAGCAAAATGAGCAAGAACGCTCGTTTTTACATCATTCCAGAGATAACTAAATGGCCTTTATTCGAAGTTTCTCAAGAACCATTTGAGCCACTGAATTCGTTTTGGCATGGTTGGATAGAGAATTGAAAACTCGATTCAGTCGTAACAACGGGAGTGGGGAAATTCGAATAGTTTTGGCCCAGAAAGCGAAATTTGAATATCAGACACTTAGGTGCAAGATTATGCCAAAATTCCATGTTTTCCGACCCGCTTTTGCTCATTTCTCGGAGGCAAAATGAGCAAGAACGCTCATTTGTACATCATTCTAGAGATAAATAAATTGCCTTTTTAGAAAGTGAACCATGGATAAGAAAATGTTGGCAGTTTTCTCAAAAAATGCTTGAATTCAAGAAGTTTTAGATTTGCGTGGTTTTTTTNNNNGTTGCAAAATCCACTTGAACATGACGCTGCTTTTTTCGAAGTTTCTCAAGAACCATTCGAGCCACAGAATTCGTTTTGGCATCGTTGGATAGAGAATTGAAAAGTCGATTCAGTCGTTACAACGTGAGTGAGGAAATTCGAGTAGTTTTGACCCAGAAACCGAAATTAGACACTTGTGTGCAAGATTATTCCAAATTTTTGGCATCGTTGGATAGAGAATTGAATGGGGGCCCCCATGACCCCCCTTGGATCCGCCCTTGCGTGCGATGTTAGTAGTGTTGCCAAAGTTCAAACTTGCCCAAACAATGTTGACATAAAATCCGTAATTACGCAATAATAGCGTAAATAAATCAATGAAAAAGCCTTATTCAATATTGGAAATAAGTCAAATATGTCAACACTGTCGTTCTGCTTTTTAACGTGATGCTTATTAACGTTACTGCAACTCGTACGTAAATAACGGAACACGTTATCCTCTAATAACGTAAACGGTTATTTATTTACGAATGCGCATGGTCAGAATAACGGATAACGTAAAACGTGTTGCAATTAAGGGGCCTAAATCTCCTGGTTAATAATGAAAACTACTAGACAAAGTGCTTCTTTATGATGAGGAAAGTTGCAGTTTTTGACTCATTCGAATCAAAACATCTAAGTTCTGATAGCGACTTGCAAATTTCACTTAAGCGAGATAACCGAAGACAATTTTTTTGTTTGAATGCATTTGGAAACAAACGTTCATTGCTCTGCTCAAACCGGGGCTTATCTGATGCACGATAAGATAGACAAATAAGTGATAACCGAAAAATACAAGTAGCTGCCTTCAGTTTATGCAGAAAACAGTTGCGATTAATTCGCGGCTGTGCGCGTTTCACGATCATTTCTAAAGTACCATATTAACTTTCCTCTCCTGTTATTGTACTTGCTGGCTTCGTTGCTTGGGTTTAGTGGTTTATTATTACTGCTGGGACATGGATGGAATTCGGTCATCACCGGTGCGACTGAAAAACATCGGAAAGAAGCGGCCCGACTCTCTTAAGATTGATCTGTTGAAAGTACCCACAACAGAGAACGGCACTTCGGACAAATGTGCTACTCCGACCGAGTCATACAGCAGTGAAGGTTCCGTTAACGTTACTTTTCGGAATATTTCCTATAGTGTGAGCGAAGGTTTTTTTAAAAAAGGTTAGTACCAAAAGTGGCGGTTCTCTTACGCTATTCACCGGCCTTCTGTGGAGAAACTGTGCTTTTTCGCTTCAGTTTTATTGATGTGTTTTAATACTTTTCGCGCTTCTTGTTGCCATTGGTGTGAGTCTTTGTCGTGACGGAAATTGGGACTGAACGATAACAGAACATTTCGATCAACAGTACTTATGACTTTTCTACAAAATTGGTACAAATTGGTTACAAAGTCAATCGTTATATAAGTAATGATAAAACAAATCTCTAAAAAGCCAATCCAAACTGTGTGATCCGCGTGTGTGGCAGGTGTTGAAACGATTATTGTTATCTATAGGATATGGGCGAGAAATTGCCTGTAATTACCAATAAAGGTTTGACAATGTATAATCAAGAGTCACAACCATAGAGAAAGTAAAATAATTTATTATTTTATGGTCTTATTTTACTGACTCTATGCTCACAACTAAGTATCATTCTTTTCACCACTGAGCAGCTGAAAGTCCTTCAGGTACAATCGTTACATCTAGAAAATAATCCCAATGACGGGTACGCACAGTTCTTTGCTCTCTTCGAAATTGCTTCGCTCCAGCCGTGCAGCGTTATTTCCTTAATTAACCGATAATTACAATCTTTCTGCGCTCTTGCAGTTTAACTTATTTCCGTTTATCTCGCTGCTGCTGTTTACCTGAGCTATTGGTTGTCATTATAGGCGTCGTATGCAACAAAGACTGTGTCGTCCACATATCCGAGGCAAATTCCAAAAAGCGCAATTGTCACGAGATTTCAAAGACGAGTGACCACTAGTATCAAAACAGAAGAACTAAAAGCAATATTGGAGTTATCGTAGTTAATATTTACTCTGTGATGTGAGTAATCGTTACTCTACATTGTAGCAACTTTTTCTAAGTAATAAATTTGATAAACTCATTCGGTATTTAAAGAGGATTAGGCGATTCTGAAATAGGTAATCGGTACCAAGAAAGGTTTTGTTGACATTCTGATAAAGTGCAAGCCTTATTTGCTTTGATCAAGTAGTAATTTGTGATTTTTGGCTGGAATAAGGTGAATTTAGCAATGAAAACTTACGTTGTTACGACTGAATCGACTTTTCAATTCTCTATCCAACGATGCCAAAACGAATT